TCTCTCATACAGCACAGAGAACCCCCCTTCCCCCTCCCATCTTGCAAGACACGTATAGAGACAGAGGAGGTGCAGGAGGCTGGGGTCTGAGAAACTGAAACGGGTTGGGACCATCACCTTCCAGCTCTTGACAGCACAGGGAACCAGCCCTTCCTGGGCCATAAAAACTAGGATACCGCACAAGTTTAGAAATCCATCAGTGAACAAGGCTTTACTGACAACTTTTCATACAGTTAAAAAATAAAAATACAGAACAACAGCGGACAGTGTCACATATTAAAAACGAATAAAATGGGCTCTATTTAAATGGTATTAAAATTAATTAGAAACTAAAAATCTTACCACTTTGGTCAAGGCGTTTTGAGCCTCCACCAAAATGATCGGCCTTAAAAACAACTGGGCTGTGTGACACACAAAGAAAACATGGAATTTGAAAAGACAGTGTGGGCTAGGCAGTGTCTTTGACTATAACTATCACCATATGTTCTTCTTCTAACTTTCCCAATGTCCTTAGTGCTGACTGGAGGTACTGCTGAGAGAATTCACAAGGAGGGAACGCATAAAGCATGCCTGTGCTGTCTCTGCCCTTCGCCCCTCCCACGGGCAGGCTGATAACCCCAGCAGCCTGCTTCTGTTTCAAGTAGGAGACCAGATTCCTGAGAAGCCGTCGCTGCAAGCCAGGCTCTACAACAGGGAAGGTCCCCTCAGCCCCTGCCCCTGCCGGGGTGGATTGGGTCGCCAGGAGCACAGCGTAGCCGTTGGGGCTGCCTTGTTTGATGCGGCGAGTTACTTCATCCAGCTTGGGCTGGTCGAGCCGAAGTCTCTGAGCAATTTTGAGCTGCGTTAACTTCCCGCCGGATGAATGGTCTTTAAGGAGTCCGTTGATGACGCCGAGGTCTCCCTCCAGGATGTGCATAGAGGTGGGGAAGCAGCTGTTTTTTAGCACAAGAAGCCCATTCCAAGCAAGTTGCAGCGTCTGAGCATATTCCGATAAATTCTTTAGCTTTTTGGTCTCAGATTTTGGCTCCTCGTGAGTTTTTGATTCTGATTCACCAGTTCGATGATTGCGTTCGCTGTCCCTTTTTTTAGGCTGGGGAGCATCGGATGCCTCACGATGGGGCTTCTCCTCAGTCGCATGACGATTGTTCTGGAGGGAGTTACTCTGCTCTTTCTCGGCTCCGGATTCTGTAGTGTGATTCTCCTTGCGAGCCCTGTCTGGGCTGCGGTCTAAAGCTGGCCCACTGGCCTTTGTCCTGCTTCTGTCCTCGTAAGGCGAGTGAGTAGTCCTCCCGCGGTCACTGGAAAGACTCCGGCGTTTCCGCCTCTCCTCCCACGGTTTGGGCACGCTGCGATCGCTGTCGGTGCCCCAGCGCTCTCCGCTCCGGCTACGCACCGATCGGCTGTAGCTTTCCAAGTTGTTTCTGCGTTCAGCATTTTTGGCAGGGCTGGCCCAGTCTGCCTCTGCAAAGCTCCTGTCTCTGTCCGAGTACAGGAGATGTGGAGGAGTCCTGTCTCGCACCCTCAAGTCTTGCTCTAGGCTTCTGTGTCTGCTGTACCCATCAGCTAGCAGTTCGTAGTGCACGGGGAGCGGTGCGGGCTGGTACTGCTGTGGGTATCTTGTCTCTTCCGCTTTGGCAAAATCCACTCGGAGTCTCCTCTCCGGTCCGCCCAAAGGAAAGCCCCTCATCTGCGCGCAGGCAGCCTGGGCAGCATCCAAGCTTTCGTACTGGATATAAGCGAAGCTGTCTCCTTTCACGTAGTCAATAGTCCTGATGCTGCCGAAGCGGTCGAACTCCCTCGCCAGGGCAGCCAGGGAAGTACTTGGACCAAGACCACCCACCCACAGCCTGGTAGTAGGGTTGGCTTTCCCGTAGCCAATTTTGATAGGGTTCCTGCCGACAACGCGGCCCGACATGGCGACCTTGGCCCGATGTGCCATGTCCAAGTTTTGGAACTTGAGGAAAGCGTAAGCCCCGCCTTGGCCCCGGGCAGGGCGCTTGATCACCACTTCTTCGATGATGCCGTACTTCTCAAAGGCACGTCTCAGCTCCACCTCCGAGACATTGTGGTCCAGGTTGCCAATGAACAGGTTGCGGGTCGCTCGCTGGTCATCCTCTGGCATCAGGTCTTCCTCAGCCACGATGGGGTAACTGTAAGGGCGGCCGCGCTCGTCATACAGCCCGTAGTAATCCAGGGCCCTCTCCCGCTCCCGGGAGAGGCCGATGGCGGCTGCTTCCAACGCGAAGGCAGCGGCTGCAGCGTGTGCGTGCCTGGGCCGCGGCTCCCGCAGCAAGGGGCTGGTGACAGGAGAGAGCGATCTCTGCTTGTACTGGTAGGTGCTGTGGATGGGCGGCAGGTACCCCAGGGGCTCCGGCGAGGGCGCGGGGGGCGGCGTGCGGCTCCTCCGGCCGCCGCGCAGATACACCGGCTCCACTTTGAGGGGCCGATCGTAGAGGAGCAGCTGCCGAGCCCGGGCGTGCCGGCGGGCGTCGCGGGCATCCCCGGGGTGTCGGAAGTTGACGTAGGCGACGCGGCCGAGCTCGGGCGTGTGGGAGAGTTTGACACTGATGTCCCCGGCGCCCCCCCCCCCCGAGCGCCGGGAAGGGGGGGACAAGGCCGCCC